TCCCCCTCCCCGGCGCCCACTCCCCCGCATCTCCCTCTCCGATGTCCTCCCTCCCAGCTCCAGCTCCGACCCACCCACCCCTCGCTGGCCCTCTCCCTCTCCCCCGCGCGCACCCACCCTCCTGTCCTGTCCAGTAGCCACAGGCCCAGCCCCCTGCACCTGGGCTTCGGAAGCCCTGGACTGGGTTCACCCAAGGGGACGATTCTGCGGTCCACACCCCTGGGATCGCGAGGGCGGGCACGCACGCGGCCCCTCGTCCCCCCGGGGACTGGAGACCCCTTGGAAGCCTCTGCCGGGGCGCCATGGCCCCCCCAAGGCGGGCACTGGGGGCGGCCCGGAGGCCTGGGGCGGTGCCGGGCAGCCGGGCTGGAGCCTGCGGCCGGCGCAGGTCCCCACAAGGTGATGGCAGTGGCACCCCTTTGCGTTGACAATTTAGAGTGGTCAAGTAGCCATTTTTACAGTCTGTTTCGCCTCAGATAAAGGACACGATGGTGGGCCTCTTGGTCTGGAGCCGCCGGCTGTCCCAGCCACTGCCGCGGGAGTCCAGCCTGGCGGGGAGTGACCCACAGGCGCCCCTCAGTGGACCCGCCTGCCCCGCTCCCTGCCTGTCCTGATGAATCCTCTACCCCCACCGCCGCCCCCGCCTGTGCCCCAGTTCTGTGTGCACAGATAAGTAAATCTCAACAAAGAAGAAAGCCATAAAGCGAAGCTCAGCAGCGTTTTTGAAGTTTGCCTTCAGAAAGACTCCCGAGGCGGGGGAGGCGCTTGCCGGCTGCAGAGCCAGAGACACGAGGGTCAGTGGCCAGACCGGTGCCAGGAGGCCGACACCCCCGCGGACCCACCTGCGCCCCTGGGCCACCGCCCGACAGCGTCAGGTGCACACCCTGCACCTGGGCCAGGCGCTGGCGGGCAGCCCCCTGCCTGGGCAGGGCGGCCTCCAGCCGGCCAGTGTCCCACCGCCCAGTCCTGCCTGGACAGCCCGCAGCCGGCACAAGCTCGTCTCCGCAGCAGGAGGCCGCTGTCCTCTCCAGGAGCAGCCAGGCCTCCCTCGCAAGGACTCCTGCGCCCAGCGGCCTCAGAGACCTGTGGCCACGGTGTGGCCTGAGGGGGTCCTGGGGGAGAGGTCCGCTCTGGGGCGCCACTCGGGCTGACACAAGAGCGGCCTTGCGGGCCGGGGCGCCCATGCCACAGGGCACCTGCAGGGCGGCGGGCCGGCCCCGCACACTGAGAGGGCCCTTTCTTGTTTGCTTTTTGAAGGATTTGTCATTCATGCACACAGACGGGCACAGGCCACAGGGGCAGGGCGATGAGAGTCAGCAGAGAGCGGGGGGCAGACGGGCAGATGGACGAAGCCCACTGCCGGGCGGCTGGCGGAGCACAGCAGAGGGCTGCCACGTGGCGTGGGTCGCCCCGGCCGGGTCGCACCCGTGCCGAAGCGGCTGTGGCAGCTGCACGGCGCTGCGCTTCCCCCGGCCGCACCACCGCGAGGGCCGGTACCGTGCTCCCTGCTCGTAAAACTGAAACCGAAACCAGCGCTTCTGTGGTCAGTAGGAGCCGTCAAGTCGGAGTTAGTGTCGTGAGTGGACGTGGGGCCCCGAGGGGCCTGCTGGCCCACCGCAGCTGCCCTTCCAGGCGTGAGCCTGGCCACCGTGTCTCATCACGGGAAAGCTGGAAGGAGCAAGGGAAGGCCCGGGTGCTGGCTTGCCCGCCGCATTGGTCCCCCATCAGGCACTGGACGGTCGCTGCCACGTGCCCCTTGGGGCCTCGACCTGTCCACCTCTGCACGGGCTGGGAGGTGGCCGGGCCGGGTGGAGCCGCAAAGCCCATGGGGTGGGCTCCTGGGAGGGAGCCTTGAGCCTGGGCCTGCGCGAGTTCCCGAAGGCACCGGCCCCAGGCAGCCGGGAGGCAGGTGGCCGGGGGCGTGCCTGAGGGGCCAGGCTGGTGTCCCTTGCCTGGAGTGGGGGCAGAATTTAGGTGCCTGGACAGCAGCAACCTGGGGTGCCCGTGGGTCCCGAGTGCTCCCTCCGGCCCGGCCCCTAGCCCCGGCTTGTGGGTCTTGGGGTTCTTTTGACGCGGCCCCGGTTTTCAAGTGTGCTTCAGGGCCTGGGTCACCGCCACCGGAAGAGCCGCCGTCCGGCCGCAGGCGGTGGCACCAGAGCGAGGTGGGTGTTTTGTTGGTGCGTCTAGCGGGCCTGGGCAGGGGTGTGGGGTAGGGGCTGCCCAGAACCCCAGGGTGGAGAGCCGCGCTTGGCCGCCTGCCAGGATGGACAGGACCACCCTGTGCTGTGCCCTGGGTGCAGCAGCATCAGTCAGCAGCCTGCCCCCAAGCAGGGTCTCCACCCCAGGCAAAGCCTGTCTGGGTCTATGACACTGGCCAGCCTGGGGGGGATGAGGGGGCTCGGGCTGGGGCCAGGG